CAATACTGTCTTTATTTCACTCTGGTTTCCCTGCCATGTAGGTTTATATGTCTCCTCAAGGAAACTGGTTTAAAATCTTTCTTAACATCCCTCCTTCAGATTCTGATTGATCTATTGAAGGATAAAGGTAAAAGGTAAAGGGTTAATGCTAGTCGTTTTCAGCTCTAGGGGGCAGTGCTCATCTCGGTTAAAAAGCTGAAGAGCCATTGCTGGCCGAAGACGTCTCCATGGTCATGTGGCCGGCATGACTCAATGCTGAAGGCGTACAGAACGCTGTTGCCATCCCACCAAAGTGGTCCCTATTTTTCTACTTGCATTTTTACATGCTTTTGAACTGCTAGGTTGGCAGAAGCTGGGACAAGTAACAGGAGTTCACTCCGTTACGTGGTGCCAGGGATTCAAACCACCGAACTGCCGACCTTTCTGATCAACCACCGCATCCCTAATTGAGGGATTATGTGCTCTCAAATAAGTGTTGACTGTTACCATATGATGGTCGCAGTGTCTTGGGGTCATATGATTCCCCTTTAGTGAGTGCCTGGCAAGCAAAGTCAATGGGGAAGCCAGATTAACTTAACAACCGTGTTACTAACTGAACAGCTGCAGTGATTCACTTAGCAACGGTGGCAAAAAAGGTTGTAAAATGGGGCAAAGCTCACTTAACAACGGTTTTGTAGGCAGGGTCTCTTGGCTTAGCAACAGAAGTTTTTGGCTCAGTTGTAGCAAATCGAGATTGTATTCCCAATCTGCCCTTCAGATCTTCAGTGAGCGAACCCATCGTTGCTGTAATTTAATCCATCCACCTAGCTATAGATATCTTCACTCTTTGCACTTTCCCCAATATTAGGGATTTTTTCCCCAAAGGAACTGACCTTCCTATGGTCCAAAATATGATCATTTGAGCCTGGTCATTTGTGGCTCAAGGGAGAATTCTGGATTAATTTATTTTATGATCCATTTGTCTATAAAGATAAAATAATCCAAGTGGCCTGGTGCTCCATCTTCATGATCAGTACTGGCAGTGCCATTACACACAGCATATGAAAGAAATTTGAATTGCAAATAGATATTGAATCTTATAAATTTTGGACTTCCTTTGCAGGGGGTGGATTGTTGCAATAGATTTGTCAGTGTTCAGTTAGGGGACATAATATGTGCTTTTGTTTCTTCTTTTTAACTTACATTTTTCTTTTGAAAATCCTTGTCTACTTTTGCTTTCTCTTTATTTTTTGTTTTGTATTTTGTATTTTTGAATAAAATAAAAAATGAAGACATTTTAAATAGGCATGGTGAGTTAAAAGGAGCTATTTCCCCCTTTTAATATATAGGGAAAACATTTAAGGGGAAAAAGATTCTTCTTACAGAGCTTCTTAATATGGGGAATACTAGCTTTTTACAAGGGGTTGAATATTTTTACAGGGGGTTGTTTTTTCTCTCTGAAAATGCCTAGCTTCTCATTCATTGTTTTATCCAGTAAACCAATTCTATGTTTGACCACACAGTGGCTCCCTCCCCATGTAAAACGCATCTAAAAAGGCCTTTTAATTCTTTTTTCTTGAAATATGACTTTCTCTTCCCAGCTTTTCCAGGCTTCAGTCTGTTTGCAATGTGGATACCTGTCCCCAAGATGGCGCTGCCTTCCCTTATTTATTTAGCATATGGAATATCATACATGGACAATAGAGGTAGTCCTCCACTTACAGTTCATTTAGTGACTGTTCAAAGTTATAACGTCACTGAAAGAAGTGATTTATATATGTTTTTCCGCTCTTACAGCTGTTACAGCATCTGTTCTGACCCACACCCTTTTTCAACAAATCAAACACAACCCAAAAGGTACAGAAAACTTGTAATGCTTTTACAAAATAATTAGCTGTGATAAGCACAAGACTTGCCAAACTGCAAGACTTGCCAAAAGATAACAGGCAAGAAATAATTTGCAAAATAAGAATCTTCAAATACAAACTCAGGATACTGGAATGTCCATGAGGCTAGGGTTTCAAAACATCTTTGCTTTCTGCAAAGAAGGTTAGTTTCACAGCTGGCTTTTATCTTCTTGAAGGAGGGGCCATTACCTTGCAGCCTTACTCCCGAGTCACCAGTGCTGTTGTAACTGTTCTTTCCTCTGAGCAATCCTGCGCTCACGCGCACTTAGCACAGGCTCCTCGGGAACCTCCTCATCACTGTGCCAGCTCCCACAATCTCTGAAGACAGCAGTCCACTCCCTAATGGTCCTGGCCTCTCATCTGAGTCCTTGCTCTCCTCAGCCGTCCGTACCTGCTGCCGGCTAACCACAACAGCATCCCCATAGTCACATGATCAAACTTTGGATGCTGGGCAACTGGTTCATATTTATGATGGTTACAGTGTCATGGAATCACCTTTAGCGACCTTCTGACAAGCAATAGGGATCCAGATTCACTTAACAACCATGTCTCTAACTTAACAACTGCAGTGATTCACTTAACAAGCATGGCAAGAAAGGTTATGAGGCAGGATTCACTTAACAATTGTCTCCCTCAACAATAGAAATTTTGGGCTCAATTGTGGTCCTAAGTTGAGGACTAACTGTACATTAACATTTCCCCTAGATCAGTAGAACGTAATAAGATATAATTTTTTAAAAGATACATGTTCAAATACCACTGGCTTATACCATCCCACTCAAATGGTTGTCCAGTCTATTTTTGAAAACCTCCAGCGATGGAGCACACACAACGCCAGGAGGCAAGCCAATTAAACATCAATTAATTATTCTGTCAGAAAATTTATCCTTGGTTCTAGGTTGAATCTCTCTTTAACAAGCTTCTACTGTTGGAAGAAAAACCCCAGGTCCAGTTCCAAGACAAGAGAAAAGCACTGAAAACAAAATGGAGGCTGATTGGAAAGAAAGTTTATTGATGAAGCAGAACCACACCCTGCTGGTGGTTCTGCTTCATCAATAAACTTCTGTTCATCAATAAACTTCCTTTCCAATCACCCTCCATTTTGTTTCCAGCGCCTTTCTCCCGACTTGGAACTGGGCCTGGGTTTTTCCTTCCAATACTACCCATTCTTGTCCTACCCTTTGGTACTGTTGAAAGAAATGTCCATCTGGGTTCAGTTCCAAGTGGTGAGAAAGACACTGGAAATATGGAAGCTGCTTGGAAGGGTGGTTTAATGGTCGACAGGACCACACGGGTTTGAAGTCCTGGATAGCTGACCACATGGAGTGGAGAGTGAGTGTTATTTATACCCTCTCTTGGGCTTTGAACTTGAGCTTCCTGTTCCTGTGGCAAGGGCATGTATCCTATTGGTTGTCAGACTCGTGATGGGAGTGGGTTCTGTTGAAAGGTGTCAAAATGCCTTTCTTTCGAGGATTCGATTTTCCCACTGGGAGAGCTCCGGCGCAAGGATACAGACAACTGCTTGAAAGCTGGATCTTTTTATTTTTCAGGAAGGCGGAGAACAGCGAGAAGTCTGCATTCCTGGACTAGATAGCTTCTTATGGTAAGCCCCTGGTTTTTTATGCCCTTTTCTCCCTTTGTAAGTTGATTTTGTGTGAGTGTTTGTATTTGTGCCTAATGTTTCAAATCCTGTTTGAGTTTGTCTTTATTTCTGTCGGAGGGCAAACTCTGCGGGGTGCGGAAGGCAAACTCCGCGGGGTGGCCAGATTGTATTACTGGTTTTCTGTAATCTCTTTTAGCTTTAAGATAGTTTTTCATATTTGTTCTGTGGCAATCTCCTGTCTGTCCCTTTTGTAATTTATATTTTGTGTCTTTTGTCTGTTTGTTTTGCTTATTTGGTATGTCCTGTGTTTGTAAGGATTTTCTAAATTATTTTTTGTTTCCTTTTCCTATTTGTCTAGTTTTCTTAGTTACTTAGGCTTTTGTCTATAGGGATTCTTTAATACTTTTTATTTGATTCCTTTTCCTATATAAGTTTGTTTTCTGGCTGACCTGATGTTCCCCTTGGGCTTTTCCTGTTTTTTTGTGACACTACTGCCTTCCTGAAATTCCCTTTCCACAGTTCCTAGCTAACTTTGTAGGCTGTCTGTGTTCCAGAATTGATTGAATCAATGCAATGAAGGGTAGTTCCTAATGTGGCTGAATGATTTTGCCCTGAAGGATAATCCCATCATCCTGGAACTGAGGTCTTTTTTTATATGGATAGGCTGGTCCAGTCTTTTGTCTTGTAGATAAGCTGGCATCGAAAATATCTGCTGGGGTCAGGGAGCTGGGAGAACTGCTCTTTTTCTTTAAAAATATGTTTCTCCTTTTCTCATCCAGGGAAATATAATAAAATTACTTGAAAATGTCCCCGCTTCCAAAGAGGATTATTCAAATCTCTGCCCCTTTTTCTGCAGAAGGATCTCATGTTAGATAGTGAAAGCGCACAGAAATCCAAAAGCTTAAAGAGAAGAGTATTTTAACATTTTTTACTTCCGGTTCCCCATTGCGCCTAGGAAGAAAACCGATCGTCACGCTGGGAGATAGCTAATTGTATCTCTTTAAAACATGGAATTTCCTATATACTGTACTCCCCTACCAACGCTGTTATCTTGTAACAAGCTTCAATCCTGAGGGACGCGTTAGCTGTCCTTTCTCTACGCACGCTATTGCCCCGCATATGGCGGCATTCCAAACGATACCGGAAGTGAAGGCCTCTCTCTTCCTCCCGCTCCCTAAGGACGAGGAGGAAAAACGGAGCGCGCGGCTCCACCTCGGCGCGTGATTGTTTATCCCCCACCCCTGCACTTTTAAACCGGCGTCTGCGCGCTGGCGGCTGAGCTCCCCCGCCCCCCGGGGAGAAGAATGGGCGGAGTTGGCTTCGCGCGGAAGGCTGATTGGCCCGAGCCGTAGGGAGGGGGGGGGAAAGGGAAAGAGGGGAGTGGTCAGGCGAAGTGGGGCGTGCCTCACGCGAGCGGCAGGGGCGGGCAGGAGAGAAAAGAGGCGAGGTCTCGCGCCGGCTTGTCAGTCGGCGCTGAGCAGCGGCTGGGGGTGGAGGCTGCGGTAGGAGCAGTGGCAGCATCAGCAGCGAAAGCGGCGACAGCGCCGGCGGTGGAGGTGCTGCCGCTGTCGCCGCCGCCCCCTCGCGGCTTCCTTTCCCCCGGGCCCGAGCGGCGGCCGCCGCCGCCACCATCGCCGCCACGCTGAGCTCCTCTCGGGGGCTCCTCCGCCGCAGCGCAGGTGAGGCTTCGCAGGCTCGGCCCGCTGCTCTTCGATGCCTGGCCCGGGCGCCCCTGCTCGGCCTTGAGTACCAGGCCCTGGCCCTTGGCAGTCGCTTTTTGAGACTCGGCCTCCTTTGTGAACGGGAGCTCCATTTCTCTGCAGGGTGGATGAGAGAGTTACCTTGTGCAGGTAGATCGATGCTGGCGAAGGAGGATGGGAGCTGTAATCCCTTGGGAGGGGGGCGGGGGAAGCACCTGTAGCAGCCTGATGGGGGACGATGGGCTAGAGTTTGAAGGGCTGGGCCCAAAAGGAAGGATGCTCTTAAGGCTGCTCAGGGTGAAGACTACCAATGAGTGGGTAATATTGGGGTGCCTCTGCTAAGGTCTGGATAAAGAGCAATATTATTTTATTGTTATTTCTCTCTCTCTCTCCCTAGGAGATGCTTAAAGGAGAACTTGAGTTCCCCTTCTCTGGTCCTCCAAGGGGCAAAAGAGCATTTAGGGGTCCATGTGGCTTGGCTGCCCAAAGCAGGGTGAATGGGGAGATGGCATGGGGTGCTAAGTGGATGGAGGTGTGATTGCCAGTCCAAGATGGCAAGGCTGGGCGGTATCCCAGTTAAGACCTCAATCCTTCTGTAGGAAGAAGAGAAGATGGGGAAGGAAAGGATGAGGGCCACAGAAAGGGGCGTGGTTGATCAGGGGTTGGAGGGAGGTGAAAGGTTTTTGGTTTTTTTTCATCCGAGTTGGGAATGAAACCAATGGAATGGCTTTGGAAGAAAAAAAGTGGATTAAAATTGGGATGAGAGAGGCTGCTGGAGAAGGCAATTGAAGTTATAGTGGGTGGTTCAAAACAAATATTTTGAATAAAAGGAAACCAGATATAAAGAATAAATCTGGGATCTTTTGAGTAGGCTGGAATGGCAGTTCCCAGAATTCCCTAAGCTTGGCTGGCTAAGAATTCTGGGTTAGTGGCAAGAAGCATGATGGGAGAGCAAGGTTTAAATGAGAATGTGTAGGTGGGTTTTGCCAACTTGGCCCTTATTTCAGAACATCATTGAGGTTGCAGAAAAGCTTTTCTGTTTCTTCTGTAAGGTTTACAGTGGTCTTTCTCTGTAAAATGGTCTTAGCCATTTTAAAGATGTGTGGACTTCAATTCCCAGAATTCCCTTGTTTCCAGATAGGTTGCAACAACTTTCCAAAGATGTTTTCATTTCATAGCTTTAATCTTATGCCTTGATAAAACTGCAGAGATTGTTTGAAGGATCTTGTTGAGTAAATCTGAAGACAACTATATTTAGGTCAAGATGTCCCTCAGGAAGATCTGAAGAAGGTTAAGCAATGGCTTCCCATTTTATTCCTTTCCTTTTCTGAGGCAGGAATTGGAATTCCAGTTTTAAATTGCATTCTGTCCAAATGTCTTGCATGTACAGATGCATGTTTATCAAATATCTGTAGCTGGCGATCTCACGGATGTGACTGGATGGCGTACAGTAAAAGAACTAAAAGCCTTAAAACCATTAAAAAATGATTGAAAACATAAATATAAATAAAACCATTGGAGTTCTTGGGTCCTTTAGGATGAAGTCCAGTGTACGTGGAGGTGACTACAATTGCACTTGAGTGTCACGGAACCAATAAAACAGCTGGAAATGATCGTGCTCTCAGGAAATCAAATGTTCTCGAAGATTCTTTCAGGTTAGCGTTACTCATGCAATAAATCCATGCAAAAATTATCCCACAGGCCTCCCTTGTTCACGTAGCATCAACATTAAGTCGTCTTTACTTCCTCTTTTACCACTTCAGTTGTTGAGGGAGTCAAGTCTGTAACTATGTTTAATACCAGTCATTATCTAATAAATATGACTCTTCAGCTAACTAACATGATCAAAGGCCTGGAGATTAAAACATGAAGAATGGCTGCAGGATTTGGGTTTGGCTAGTCTAAAGAAAACAATTAGGGATGACATGATAGCAGTATTCCAGTATTTGAGAGGCTACCACAAAGAAGAGGGTGTCAAATTTTTCTACAAAGCACCAGAAGGCAGGACAAGAAACAATGGTTGGAAACTAATCAAAGAAGCAACCTGGAATTAAGGAGAAACCCACAACAAAGGCAAGCTGTTCCACTGATTAATTGTCCACACTGTTAGGAAGTTTCTTCAACCGTTCTTCACTGGAGGTTTTTAAGAAGAAGCTTAGACAACCACTTATCTGAAATAGTATAGGTTCTCCTGCTTGAGCAAGGGGCTGGACTAGAAGACCTCGAAGGTTCCTTCCTAGCTGTTTCTATTCTATATCCAGCATTGCATTCTTAAGGTTTCCACATTAGCTGCCGTATAACGTGAATTTTGCTTAGAAGTCCTTTCAAAACAAAGATTAGGAGCACACCTCTGTTAGCCAAGTTAAGCTCCTGGGGCAGTGGAGTTGCTTTCTTTTTAATTTTGCACTGGGAATGATAGTGAACAAAAACAGGCCCACCAAGAGGGAAGAAGAAAGAAAAGAAAAATGTTGATGTTGAAGCTGTCTGACTTTGCATTTAGTTACCCACTTGTTGGAATATGGGAGAAATCTATAGACATTCAGATTAAGCTTTATTAGGTGTTGAAATTGGTTTCAGGTTGCCTAGCAGTTGCTCCCAGGAGTTTCTAAGGAACAACGGTTTAATCCTGAATTCCTGCAAGTAAATAGTTCGGCTACGTTTTCTTGCTGCTATACATGTAGATTTGCTTCCTTTATTGCTGATACATTAGTCCTTGAGCTACAACCACAATCGAACCCAAAATTTCCATTGCTAGGCAAGAGAATTGAGTTTTGCCCCATTTTATAACCTTTTTATCTGCAGTTGTTAACTGAATCACTGCAGTCAAGTTAGTAAAAAGGCGGGTCAGTGAATCTGGCTTCTCCCTTGACTTTGCTGGTCAGGTCTCAAAAGGGGATCACATTACCCTAAGACACAGCAACTGTCACAAATATATGCCAGTTGCCAAGCATCCGATCACGTGACCATGGGGGATGCTGCAGTGGTCGTAAGTGTGAAAAACAGTCATAAACCACTTTTTCAGTGACATAACTTCAAATGGATACTAAATGAATGGTGATTAAGTAAGGGACTACCTCTATGTCGTACTTGTCCTTCAAAGGGATCTGCAGAAATCTGCCTGCTGTTGTCATATTACCTTCCCAGCAGTCTTATGAAGTAGACTCAAAGAGAAAGATTTTATGGCTGAGGAAGGGTTTGAACCAGAGGTGGTATTCAGCCGGTTCTGACTGGTTCTGGAGAACCAGTAGTGGAAAATAGTTCGGAGAACCGGCAAATACCTCCTCTGATTGGTCCTGCTCCTATTTATTCTCTGCCTCCTGAGTCCCAGCTGATCGGCTGGGCCTTCTTTGGTTGCCCTGCACAGGAGAACGGAGCTGGAAAGCAGGTTAGTGGGGTGGGGAGGGAATGGAGATTTTGCAGTAACCTTCCCCTGCCACGCGCACCAAGCCATGCCCACAGAACTGGTGGTTAAAAAAAAAATTGAACCCTACCACTGGTTTGAACCCAGGCTAACCACCCTAACCATTCCATTAAGTTCTTGGAGGAGGAGAAAAGGGTCTCCCATGTTTATCTAGAATCCTGCCTGCCTGCCTGATTTGAAATTCTTACTATTCAAAGTGTGAGTTGGAAGCGGAAGGAGAATTTCAAGCTCTCTTGAAGATGAAGGTTTATAGATTCACCATTAGTTAGTTATGGAGAAACAGAAATGGAGCTGATTGCTCCAAAATAGAGACCGGCGGAGTTCTTGCTTACAGATAAGTACAGGTAGTCAGTCCTTAACTTACGACCACAATTGATGACCCCAAAATTATGTTGCTAAGTGAGACAGCTGGGTTGTGTTTTTTTGAACTATGTTTTATTGAAATATTTTTCTTTAATAAATATAAAAAAGCTCAGTATCTATCTGAACAGCATGTTGTCTGAGTACAATTAGTTTTGAATAACAAAACAAGCATAATAATCACAATATACATATCATTAATAATAATCACATAGTAATAATACAATTAGCTTAGCCATATCTAAAAACTTTCATTATATAATCAATTATTTTAGTCTTTTTAGTTTCTAACCTCTGTTTTTGTTAGTTACTGGTAAAATAAGTTCCATGTTAAAAAATATTCTGTTTTTTCCTTTGCCTTTATTTTTAGTGTTAATCTGTCCATCTCTGCGCATTCTAATATTCTTTTTATAGCATTTTCATCTGAAGGGATCTCTTCATTTTTCCACTGTTGTTGTGCAAACAAAATTCTTGCTGCCGAATGAGACAGCTGTTAAGTGAACTCTGCCCTTTTTTACAACCCTTCCTGCCACCGTTGTTAAGTGAGTCACTGCAGTTGTTAAGTTAATAACAGTAGTTCAGGGAATCGGGTTTCCCCCTTGACTTTGCTTGTCAGAAAGTCGCAAAAGGGGATCGCGTGACCCCAAGGCACTGCAACCGTCGTAAGTATGAACCAGTAGCCATGTTGTCTGAATTTTTGTCACATGACCACGGGGACATTGCAATGGTCATAAGTGTGAAAAACTTTTTTCCAGTTTCGTTGTAACTTTGAACAGTCCCTAAACTGCCGGTAAGTTGAGGGCTACCTGTACCGAAAGTCTCGAAAATGCCCCCCAAATGTTCCATCCTGTTTTCTGCTGGTTAAGAATTACGCTGCGAGCTTTTTGTTCAGCTGCATTCTTCTCCATCTCCTGATTTCCTCCCTGCTCCTTTTGCGCCCGGGGGACAAACAGCAGAGGTGAGGGAGATGCTCAGACTGAAAACTTGCCAGCTTGGTCTAGTGGGTGACTGGAGGCGGAGGACTTCTCCCTCGAGGTGGTATGGCGATGGAAAAACAAGCAAAAGAACGTCCCTCAGCCGGGAGAAGGGAAAGGAGAATTCTGCACACAGGAGACAATCACAAAGATGATCTTTGTTTCGGTTGAATGGATGAGAGTCCGTGGTCATTTTAAGTAGCTTTCTCTAGCCTTGGTGTGTGTCTCCAGAAGTTTGGAGATAGGAGGTCAAGAAAACCGTAACCATCTGCATCTCAAGGAGCCATGATTGAAGCACCCCAGAAGTGTGTCATTTGTACCATAGAATTAGCAAGGTGTTGTCGGCGAGACAGCATGCAACCTTGACACCTGTCCTCGAATTTCCCCTTTAGGTCATGGCAGCTTCATGAAGTCTTCTGTGTCCTGCTTTCCCGGTGGAACAGTCCTCCATCTTTGGAAAGGCAACCTGGACTGGGAATTTGTTCTCTTAGACCAGGGGTGTCAAACTCGATTTAATTGAGGGCCGCATAAGGGTTGTATTTGACCTTGGGGGAGGCCGGAGTGGGTGTGACCAGGGGGCGTGACCAGCTTGATGTCGTTCGTGTCAGGGCATCAGTGAAAACAGGCTCCTGGTCTCCATTTCTGGCTGTGATAGCCTCCTGCAACTCTCTGCCAGCGAAAACAGCTTGGGAGTGCCGCCCGTCGCCCTCATGAGCTCTGTTTTTGGTCTGCAATGACCTCCTGCAACCTTCTGCCAGTGAAAACAGACTTCAAGAGGGCCGCAAGCAGCCCTTCCGAGCTACGTTTTTGCTGACAGAGGCACTGCGGGCTGGTCCTTCCTGTTTCCAAGACCAGGTCTAAGCACCCTGCAGGCTGGATCCGGCTGCCAGGCCTTGAGGTTGATACCCCTGTCTTAGACCTTGGTTGTGGCCAACTATTCTGGGAATTCTGGGAGTTGAAGTTCACGGGTCTTAAAGTGGCCACGGTTGTAAGCATTGGCTGTGCCTAGAGCTTGATCGGCTTCAAGTGATCATCTCTCCAAAAACAATAATATAGTTTCCTGGTTACTTCCTTTTTCTATTTCTGTATCTTGCAGCCATTATGTTGGGTATTCACAAAGATAGCAAGATAAGAGTTTTGAAGAGGAGAAGCTTCCCTTGTAGAGTAAGAACCAGCGATGGGTTTAGGAGGAAATTTCAGGGAGATCCCTGATTGAGCTGGTAGAGCTGGATCAAGGAGGACATAACTGGGAAGATCTGTCTATGGTTGATCAGAGTAACCCCATCTTTCCTGATCTGAATTCCTGTAGAGAATCCGGTTAGGTTCCATCCATTCAAACTGGGAATGTTGAAATTTCATTCCTGTCCACTTCTAGGATGCGATGAAGTAGAAATCTGGTATAGGTCATAATCACTTAGATCAGGGGTGTCAAACTCAATTTTATTGAAGGCTGCATCAGGGTTGTGTTTGACCTCGGGGGGGGGGGGGTTTGCTGGGAAGGTGTGGCAAGCTTGACATCACTCATGTCAGGGGCACCTGTGGTGGCCCTGGGGGGATTGGGGAGGATCCACTTTTGCTAGTAGTTGGTTTTGCCAGCACTCTGCCAGCGAAGACAGCTGGGGGGCGGGCATATGAGCTTCCCTTCCCTCCCCCGGACTCCATTTTTGGCTGTGACTGCCTCCTGCAACACTCTGCCAGCGAAAACGGAGCCAGGGGGCACCATGTGCTGCCCTCTCAAGCTCAGTTTTCACTGGCAGAGACACCGCAGAGTAGTCCTTCACTGTTTCCAGGATGGTCCTTCACTGTTTCCAGGGCAGCCTCACAGGCCAGATCTAAGCACCCCATGGGACAGATTTGGCCCGTGGGCCTTGAGTTTGACATTCCTGACTTAGATGAAGAC